GTGGCGGCGAGGTGGCAGTGGCGGTGGCCTGCCTCGGCGCCGCTCGGGGGGAGGGCAGGAGGTGGCGTGTTGGCGTAGCTGGATAGAGGGGCGCTGAGAGGCCTCGTGGGGGGGGGGCTGGCGGGGGCGGGGGAGATGAGAAGGAAGGAGAGGAGAGCAAGAGGGGAAGGAGCAGCGAGAGGGGGCGACGCCCGCCACCCTTGCACGTGTAAGCGTTGCCAGCCCCGGAGAAGAACTCCTCGGGTTTGTTGATTATCTGCATGGCTGAGGGGGAGGCGGGGGAGGCGGGTGGAGGTGAGGAGAGAAGGGACGAGGGGGAGAAGGGGAGCAAGTAGACGGGGGTGTGTGGGGGAAAGGAGGAAGAAGAAAAGGGACGTCCGCGACTTGCTAAACTGGGTTAATTGTCAAGGTCTCGGGCTGCAGTTGGTGGCGTAGGTGATGTCCGATTTCTTGCGCTTGGCCTCCCGCCCGTGCGAGTGACAAGCCGGGCGCCGACGTCACTAACTGCAATCGCAGACAGTCAACAGCCTGTCTGGACGTGCGTGCGTGCTTCCGAGAGGCCAGAGGGCCTGCATTGGCCGTGAGACACGAGAGGCGGCGGCAGCCCGACCGCAGCCGCGGAGGCAGCCCCGCACCACATGAGCGCCGCCGACATCATTTCTCACCGTCGGCGACGCAGAGAAAGCAGCGAGTGCGGCTTCGTCAGCCAAGGTGAAAACGTGATCAAGCCGCCTCCTCCTCCTCCTCCTCCTCTCCCGCGTGCATGGACCCTCCTCCGCCGCCGCCCTCGGGATGCTACTGCCTGTCCCTCGTGCACTCTCGCCGGGCCGGCCGCAGGCCCATTGTTCTCTCCTCGTCCCAAGGCGCCGTCAGGAGCCTCCGTCGGGCACTCGGCGGGACTCTTAGCGTCGCTTCGAGGGGACAGATGAGGGTCGGCTTGGAGACAGGTAGGGAGGGTGGCCGGTGCAGCTCGCACCTGACACACACACACACACTCACACGCGCTCGCACACCAGCCGCTGATTGGTGGCTGTCCTGAGCACTGAGCGCTGTGCACTTGGGGAGACTCGCACTGAGGAAAGTTCAGAAGCAGTGACCAAGGAAAAACGCTTCTCAATGGAACGGCTTAACTTGACGTTCACTCACTGACAAAGAGATACAGACTGACACACTCCGCTGCTATCAGTTAGTTGCTAGTCACTGCGGTGTCCACCTTATCATTAGCAATGAAATTATGTTGGGATCCAACCCGTCTTGCTGCAAGTGCTAGCAGGTGTGTGAGTGTTATCGGGCAAAGGGACTAGGAGCTAACACCGAAGAAAACATTGAATTCCTTTTTTCACACGAACGTGGTAAGTCATCCGTGGCGACGGCCCAGCGCCCCCGCCTGCAGGTCTTATCATTCTAATTCCTCTCATTTCCCGCGTACGTTTGGCTGATCTATTAATCTAATTCGGTTTTCTGAAAACCTCCATTTACCTGTTCAACGACGAGCGCTGCAGTGCGAAGGGCGTGTCCCGCGGAGCAGCCAGCCAATAAGAAACCTAGCTGCACGGCTTACGGCAATGTGATTGGCTAATGCAAGTCGCTTCAACATAAATATCGCAGTTCGGTGTTCAGCGTTGACCATTGCGAGCCATTATCTCCTCTGGCATTTTTTCACAAGCCGTATACAGTGTGCTACTTCCAGACATCTACCCCGAAAATAACGAAAAAAACGAAAAATAAATAAACATATAAACTACGCACTACCTCGCTCCCGATCCGTCATCCGTTCTCGAGTTAAGTGTTATGAAGTCCAAGAATTCAGTGATAAGATATCTTGTGGGGAGGTCGGAGCGTCGTCGCCTCGCTCCCTGGAGAGAATTTATATCGTTAATGACTTTACACCCCCCTTCCCCCCTCTACCTCCCGCGTAGGAGGGGGGAAGGAGCCGTGTTGTTGTTATGGTTGCATCTCGGGGGCTTAGGGGGGAGGGGGAGGGGTGGAGGTGGCCTCGTGGATCTCGACATTCCACCACGTCACATGCACGCACGCACGCACGCACGCACGAGCAATCACTTATGCTCTCAGTCTTCGCCTCTGTCTCTTGGTGTTAGTTTCTATCTTTCTGACTCACTCACTCACTCTCTCTCTCTCTCTCTCTCTCTCTCTCTCTCTCTCTCTCTCTCTCTCTCTCTCTCTCTCTCTCTCTCCTCTCTCACACACACACACACACACACACACGCACGCACACGCGCGCGCGCGCAGCAAAGTTACAATCATGGGAGCATTGTACTACTATACAATCATCTATACTAAACCTTCATTCAAGTTCAGAACCAGTTTATCACTTATATAATCTCTCTCTCTCTCTCTCTCTCTCTCCTCTTCTCTCTCTCTCTCTCTCTCTCTCTCTCCTCTCTCTCTCTCTCTCTCTCTCTCTCTCTTCCTCTCCCTCTCCCTCTTCCTCTTCCTCCCTTCTTCCTCTTCCTCCCTCTTTCCTCTTCCTCTCTCCCTCTTCCCTCCCTCTTCCCTCTCCCTCTTTCCCTCTCCTTTCTCTCACCATAGTCAGTTAATTTCATCCCTCTCCTTCTCTCTCACACATATGTATTAATATTCACATACATATACATATATGTGTGTATGTATCTATGTATGTATTCATATTCATATTCATATGCACATGCACATGCAATACATTACTTACACATATACACCTATACAGGCTATGGAATATCCTGATGACGTCAGAGTACGGCCCTGTCAATGTCATTGGTCAGTAGGGAGGGGAGGGAGAGGGGAGGAGGGAAGAGGGAGAGGAAGGGTCGGAAGGGAAGGGAAGGGAGAGGAGGGGAGGGGAGGGGAGAGGAGAGGGAGACTGGAGGGGAGGAGGAGGGGGGCCGACGGGTGGTATGGGCTGCCTAAGTAACCTGGCCTCACTCGCGCTCGGTGAGATAAGGCCGTAATCTCGCAACGCAAATGCCCCGTCACTGCACTTTCGGTTGGGTGAATGTTGGAGGGGGGGGGTGGCACGCAGTCACCTCACGCACGCAACCGCTTCTCTTGCCTCATTCCCCACCCCCCTCCTTCCCTCCCTGCTTTCCCCTGCCAACCCCTGCTGCTACTACGTCCCCTTCTTACACTCGCCCCCCTCCCCCCTCTGTCCCTTTGTTATCTTTGTTCTTCCCTGTATCACCCTCCCCACCCCTTCCCCTACCCGACCTCCCCTCCCACTCCCTTCCCCCACTTCCCCTTCTTGCTACCACCCCCCTGATTTTATCCTTCTCTGTTTCCAGACGTTTATTTCGTACAAAAGCGTGTCCGATTCCAATGCGTGGAATATATACTTAAATGCAAACTTGAATATATACATATACATATATGTTTACAGATGAAGAGAGAGAGAGAGGAGAGAGAGAGAGAGAAGAGAGAGAGAGAGAGAGAGAGAGAGAGAGAGAGAGAGAGAGAGAGAGAGAGAGAGAGAGAGAAAGGAGAGAGAGAGATAAGAGAGAAGAGAGAGAAAGTTAAAAAGAGGAGAGAGAGAGAGGAGAGAGAGAGAGAGAGAAGAGAGAGAGAAGAGAAGAGCGAGAGAGAGAGAGAGGAGAGAGAGAGAGAGAGAGAAAGAGAGAGAGAGAGAGAGAGAGAGAGAGAGAGTAGAGAGAGAGAGAGAGAGAGAGAGAGAGAGAGAGAAGAGAGAGAAGAGAGAGAGTAGAGGAGAGAGAGTGAGGACGCCAGCCTCTCCTATCCC